TAGAAACTTGACCCGACTGAAAAGAAGTAAGAAATGGTGGACCTTGAAAATGACTTCAGGTTTTCTCACTGTGCAGAATATAGTCAAACACTGCTGCAGTTAAATATTTTACGCTTCTTCTCCCTGTGTGATCTACAATAATAATCTGTTTTGTGTTGATATTTACTGCTGTGTTGCTGACAATTACCTGAAAGAGAAGTGCTTCACTGGGCTGGAAAAAGTTTAGCTACATCAGAAAGCAGGTCTAATTAAGCAAGTTTATTCTATATATGTAAAAGGCTAAGTTGACTAGCACTTGTGTGATACATATAAAGCTTTCACTGGTGCCAATCACACATGTGTGTTTCAATCTATCATTGTCAACTGTGAATTTGGTTGACACTTCCATTATAGAGAAAGGGTGAATAGCAATATTAAAATATTTCTTCTAATTAATTTCCTTTCAATGTGCACGAATTCGTGCACCAGGCCACTAGTATGCAATATTTTATTTTTATTTAATTTAACTTGCTGGATAAAATGTCATAAGGTTATCTGTTCCTTTGCCTTTCCATCAGAGGTTAAGAAGAAAATTATAGGTATTTAAGTAGAAGCTGTATCCCCATAAATAGAGACCTGGGGCTTTTAGGGCGAATGAAATGACATGATTCCTTTGATTAATCATAACCATGACCACTTTTCAATCTCTTCACTGTTCTATGATCTTAACTTCTTTATAAACCAGGAAAAAAAATGGCATGTTTTCATTTAGACCCATCTCCTTCTCATAGAATAAATAATATGTTTGACCTTAAGATACTTACTTGTGAACATCAAGTTAAAAAAGTGACTGGCTGCTGCAAGGACAACACGATGAGCAGGTATTTTTCTTTCCTGGACCATAAGGATCACATCACACAATGTTTTCTAATCAAGAGAGAGAAAGAAATAAAATCAAAAGGGGCTCATTGTTTAAGGTTCTGGTTTAGCAAACATATTAAACAGGTGCTTGTCAAATGCTTTATCTCTATTTCCTATTTAAATTTGTTTATTTTTCCAGTACAGAATTTGTTTATAATATGACCTATTTAGGAAGGACTTACAGAGTGCTGTCATGAGTTTTCTGTACCAAAATCAGGCACTGAGCTTCCCAACAGTTAGGAAATCTTTATAATCAGCAAAGAAGTAGTCTACTAATTTTTTAGGGAAGACAATTTTTTTTTTCTGAGACAAATTCTAAGCTATTTATCACAGTGAGATATTATGGGGACAGTAAATGACATAATGACAATGTCCTTAATGGTTTTTCTTTCTGGCTTAATCCCTATGCACTTACTCCCCATCCCTCCAACAGAGCTGTCTGCTTGCTCTTTATCTATGAGTCTGCTCTATTTTGCTTGGTAGTTCAGTTTGTTCATTAAATTCCACATATGAAAAACAATCCCATTTACCATCGCACCAAAAAAATTAATATACCTAGGAATAAACTTAACTAAAGAGGTAAAAGACCTCTACTCAGAAAACTACAGGACGTTAATCTTTATAATCAGCAAAGAAGTAGTCTACTAATTTTTTAGGGAAGACAATTTTTTTTTCTGAGACAAATTCTAAGCTATTTATCACAGTGAGATATTATGGGGACAGTAAATGACATAATGACAATGTCCTTAATGGTTTTTCTTTCTGGCTTAATCCCTATGCACTTACTCCCCATCCCTCCAACAGAGCTGTCTGCTTGCTTTTTATCTATGAGTCTGCTCTATTTTGCTTGGTAGTTCAGTTTGTTCATTAAATTCCACATATGAATGAAATCATATGGTACTTGTCTTTTTCTGACTGACTTATTTCACTTACATAATGTTCTCCAGGTCCATCCATTCTGTTGCAAAGGTTTAAAACTTTGTTTTGTCCTGGCTGGTTTGGCTCAGTGAATAGAGCACTGGCCTGGGGACCAGAGGGTCCCGGGTTCGGTTCCAGTCGGGGACACGTGCCTTGGTTACAGGCTCCCCTCGGGCCAGGGCCCTGGTCAGGGCTAGCAGGAGGCAACCAATCGATGTGAGACACATCGATGTTTCTGTTTCCCTCTCTCTTCCACTCTCCCTAAAAAATCAATGGAAAAATATCCTCAGGTGAGGATTAACAAAAAACAAAAAGAAAAAAAGAAATGCAATGCCTCGTTAAAAAACAAAAACAACTTTCTTTGTTTTTACAGTAGAATAGTATTCCATTGTGTAAATGTATGCTTTTCAAACATAACAATCTGCTTTTAAAAATAATCTATCCTTGATAAAATCGAGAGTACACACTGCATTTCCCAAGACGGTAGCCTTCACAGATCTAAATTGAAACAGAAACAACTCAGAATACAGAGTGGATGAACCAAATGTCCACGCCGCACTCTTTCTGTAAACAACAGTTCTCTCAAATGTACTTCTGATAGGAGCTGGATACCAGTCACTTTTAAATTGTGATTTCTGGCCAAAGCCAAAACAGTCGTCACTCTAGGTTGCTGAAAGAAGGCAGATTTAAATTAAGTACTACAAATGTTGGAAAAATTGAAAATTAAAGAAAAAAGTAAGGTTTATTAGAACCATTAGAGATGAATTTCAAGGAAAAAAAAGTCCTTTCTGTAAAATAAAATTTCAATTACTTACTGAAATTAAATATATAATTTATAGGTAAGGCTCAGAGAAAATTTACAGCCTGGGATATGTTAAACACTCTTAGGATCTGGGAAAATAGTATTTTCAGAGTAAAAAAAAAATCTCTCACTCATAGAAATAGCTCAGAGGATATGGCATTTTGCATTTTTAAAGTATTTTGCTATAACTATTAATCTAGTTTCTGATAGATAAGTCACTGCTATTTCCTATTTTATTACTCCAGGAATAAAAATCCAAGTAAGACGGTAATGCTTAGATTGAGAAAGGAAATGGGCCCTAAACAGTTGGCTAAAGGATAAACATAATTTCCCTTTTATGGCTTATTTGAAGATTTTTTATAAGGCTACAGTACTGCTTAGAAATTATATGTAGATTACTTAAAGTTAAAGCTATTGTTATTCCAATAATGTCTTGAATTTTAAAAATGTTATTTCCTTTTATTTGGGGAGGAGGTTCAGAGTAGGCAAAACTCTCAGGTAATTTTGCTACAAACCACACCAAAAAAACCAACAATACTCAGGTACCAAAAACCAAACTAATGATTTGGTTACCACCAAAACAAGCTGATCAAGTAACTTAAGAGAGAGAGGAGCAAGATGGCAGCATAGGTAAACACCGGAGACTTCAAAACAAGCTGATCAAGTAACTTAAGAGAAAAAAAGAGAAAAAGAAAGGGAGCAGGGAAGGAAAGGAAGGAGGAAAAGAATATTGACAGGATAGCAAGCAAATAAGATAGGGGAGGGATCTATGGCTGCTGATGAAAAGTTCCAGAAAGTGCAGAGAGAGCTAAACAGAAATGTAGCCAAAAACCTTTCCAAGGCATTCTCAGCAATAGGAGTTTTAGTGGAGTGATTTAATAGGCACGGAGGACATTAGGGAAATCAGAGGGATCGTAGAGTAATTTAGTCTTAATCTAAAATTAATCTTTGGCTGGATATTAATGTTGTGTGTATGGGGGTGAGGGGTGAAAGGGGAGGAATCTTTTTTATCCAAATGGTACATTTACTTGACTGTACTACAGTAGATCAATAGGTTTCAACAAGAAATGGGGCTGACCTAGAGAGAGTTCCCTCCTGCTATCAGTCATCTGGGGAAGAGGTGTAACCACGGATAAGAAATGGGAAGAGAAAGAGACTCAGGTAAATCGGAGAATGTGAGAGGTAACAAGTCCTAGGTGAATGAAGAGAAACAAAAAGTACCTGTTGAGCAATACATGTTCACTGGATAAAACAAGAAAAATAACCCTTGCAATTTCTCTATTTATGTCCCTCATATTAGTTATATCTTTGTATTAATTTCAGTTTTTGAATAGTCTCTTATAAACAGCACAGATTTTTGTGTGACTTAGTCGGAAGTTCTCACCATCTAAGAATATTTTTAGCAGTGTTTAATTCTTCATATTTATTACTGATAACTTATGTTTTACCTTACAAATGCCAACTTCTTTTATGCTATTTATTTTGCTTTCTTGCTGTCTTCTTTTTTCTTTAACTGCCAGTTGCTATTTTGGTCACATTTTCTTTGTACTTTTTTCTTCCTTTAGAGACTGACTTACAGATATGTCAAGTATTTGCAAACTGAACTCAGCAGGGTATTAGTCAAATATTGTTCTAGGAATGCAAGGAGGGTTCAAAAAGTAATTCTATTAATGCAATTCATCACATTGACAGTTAAAAGAGAAAAACTTCTTGTAGAAAAACTTCAATAGATGGAAAAGACTGTTGAATAAAATTCACTTCCTGAGACTTTAATAAAGAAAACGATGTGCCTGTATACTAAAGGTCAAATATCAGAACTCCATAGCAAACATCGCATTTAATGGTGAAACAGGAAAGGCATTCTCATTCAAGTTTGAAACAAGTGGAAATTTGATATATGATAAAGATACCATTTCAAAAATGTGGTGAGAGGGTGGAGCACAAAGTTTAGGGCAGTAAAACTATTTTGTATAATGCTGTAACAGTTGATACATGTCATGATACATTTGTCAAAACTCATAGAATGTACAACAGAAAGAGTGAACCCTAATGTAAACTATGGTTATTAATAATGTCACAATATTGGCTCATCAGTTGTAACAAATGTATTACACGAATGCAAGATGTTAATAATAGGGGGAACTGTGGGGGTGAGGGCGAAGGGGTAAATGGAAACTGCACTTTCTGCTCAATTTTTCTGTAAAACTAAAACTGCTCTAAAAAAATAAAGTATAAATTCAAAAAATGTAGTGAGAGATCAGATAATTGAAAAATGGTATTGGGATAACTGTTACACTTTTATGGAAACATTATATTTCTGGCTCTTAATGTACTCCCTCTTCCTCTGGGGAAGGTAAGCCCTGGGAAGGAAGTTTCAGTCCTTTTCTTGAACTGTTACTTGTGGAAGAGTGACTATAGGATGGGCAAGAGTATGGTAGTGGTCACATGGAGCCAGGCCTCCGGGCTCATTCTTCTTCCATAATTCTGCCCCCAAATGAACAGGGAAAAAGGGGAAACTCTAGAAGACCCAGCAGCTGAGTACATCTCATTGGCAAGTGTCTAAAAATTTTGTCTAAGAAAAACAATGTGTCTTATGAAACATTATGAATAGATGAAATTCTCTATATGGTAAACATAGTGTCCCTATTAGCCTTTTGATAAGTGAGTCCTCCCAGTGAGTTTAGTCTTAGAGTCTATCAATTACAGACAGCTGATAAACTGGCAAACTCTCAACCACAAAAGCCAAGATTTTATGTTTTTGAAAAACCCTCTTCAGAAATGGAAGTTTCTGTTCTCTTTTTGGTTGGGAACAATAATGTGGGTTAGGATTGTATAATAATGTCAATTATATGCACTATTTACTATAGAGATAGAGGAGATTTGCTTGGATTTCTTCAGGTTTGTGGAGATGGGGAGGATGCTGTGCTAATCTTAACAGTTCTAGGGTCCCTTTGACATGCAAAAAAACAAGTGGCATGTGGCACCCACTACCTTGAAATTGGGAAATTCAGCTTTAGAGGTATTATATGAAATCTATTCCAGTGGAAGGCAGCCTACACTGCAGCTGCTGAGGAAGCTATCCTGATTACCCAAACACTTAGGCTTATGCCTTATTGCTGAGACTGAGCAGTCTAAGAAACCAGGGAGAGCAGACATTTGCAATTCAATTGCTATCATTTTAATTTATAGGCGGTCATAGAAGTGGGAATTTAATAAGAGGGCTCATAGGAATCAAATTTGGGGGATTTTATGTTGCTAGTTGGAATTAGATGCAATGCTTTAAGTCATGTAGTTCACTGCAGACTCTCTGGAACACTACGAATGACATATTGAGAAAAAATTGAGATGGGAAATGGAAGTGAACTTAATTGCTATCTATCCATTTCAAAGCTTTCTGGAGTAAAAACTTAAATAAGTTCCTAAACTAGTCTTCAGAGGACACACAAAAGAACAGTTATTGATAGAGGATGCTTCGTCAGCATTGAAGATAGAACAAAGCACTCCCTGTGCCAGTAAGAAAATAGATACCCTAAAAACAAAGTGAACTTGGAAATAAGAACTTATAGCTACGAGGTCCAGCTAACTTCTGTTGGAGTGGGGTGGGGCTTTGGTGTCCGAATCCTACCAATGCCTGAAGTTTATATAAGGACCAATGTCGAAATGAGATACAAGAGATCATACTATTGACAGGTAGTCAGGTAATCCCCCATTATGCAGTGCTTCTCTAATAAAACAAAGTTGGAAAATTAGGCTTTTCTTAAGAAGCCCATATACATAGGTCTTTCTACTCACCTCTGCAAACCAATAACCTAAATTTTGGAATCTGCATATTTTTATGTCCTGCAAGGGAAAAAAAAAAAGATGGCTGGACCCCAATCCAGCTTATAGAGTCTACCATAAGACACAGCTTATGGTCCTGCTTAACTAGAAGTAGGTGGGCATCATTAATAAAACAGCAGTGTCTTAATCCTACCAGACCTGAGGCCCTGAACCTAACTGTCCCCTATACCTGGGCTCCTGAGCATTAAAGAGAAAAAACCAACATGATATAGAAAAATGTTAGTTACATGCAAACAAGTGGTTAGAATAAGATGGAACTTGGAGACATTGTAGAAAATAGATCTACCTTTCATCTAGCGCCAATATTCCACCTTTGTGTGGAAATTACAGAAAAATCGGTACAGCGGTCTGGTAGGGTTAAGCTCTAACTTAATTAGATTAGAATCTTGAGATCTCCCTTTCTCTCTCTCTCTCTCTCTCTCTCTCTCTCTCTCTCTCTCTCACACACACACACACACACACACAACAAAATTAGGAAGACAGATATAAGCTTGAGACCTCATTTCCTTTCCTTTGGGTGAGGTGAACGTTAGAAATGTTCTTCCCTTCCATGTTTCAGTTCTTTTGCCCTCTGTTCCCAATACCACACACAGACAGATATAGACACAGACAGACAGACACACTACATTCTCCTTTTCAGAGAAAAAAAAAAGCCTTATCAATGGTTTTCTTTTTTTTTTTAATCCTCATCCAAGGATATGTTTTATTGATTTGAGAGAGGAAGGGAAGGAGAGGGATTGGGAAGGAGAGGGATGTAGGAGAGGAATATAGGAGAGGAAGGAGGGGAGGAAGAAGGGAGAGAAGGAGAAAGGGAGAGGGAAGGAATGAGGAGGGAATGAGAGAGAGGGAGGGAGGGAGAAAAATATTAATTGGTTGCCTCCCCTACACACCCTGACTGGGAATCGAACCTTCAACCCTTTTGGTGTATGGGACTACACTCCAACCAAATGAGCCACCTGTCTGGGGCCAAACTTTTTTCTTTAAGCAGCAGAATCCACTTTCAAATGATCTGATTGTATATAATTTATATAGACAGACTGGTTTCTCTGTAGTCAGAACTAGCCTGGCAACCAAGGGATGGAAGAGTCCCTGTCACTAATTTTGATCTTAGTAATGTCTTTCTGGGGATGGATTCTGTAAGTCTAGAGATTTAGGAACCCTAAAAAGAATGATTCAACCAAATGATACAACAATATTTTTACAGAACTGCAAGTTAAGACTGCGACCTTGTCATTTTGGGCTCCTTGTGCCACTGGGTAAAAAGAACAAAAGTTATTACATTTAGCTAGGTGCCTGACTCTAGCCATCCATGGGGCAGAAGATGGCTGGAACTCAGGGGATCCCCTTGGCTACCTTTGGTTGTCCGGAGACACAGCACTCCATGAGTTCCTATGCATCTTCCTGGACATAACAAGAATGGAAGGTCCTGTCACTTTTTACCCGGCCACCATTTCTCAGGGTTGTTTTGACAGCGAGTGACCCTAAGGGATTAGATAATGCCTCCCCTCCAGGATAAAGAGCAGGCTTGCTTATTGCTTGCTATAAAAATGGTAGATTTCTTAGCTCAGTGTCCACCCATTGGGCCCACACCATGTTGCCCTCACAGCACTCGTAGGACAAGGGGAACTGACACATATATGCTGACACTCACAATGCTGTGTTGTGAGTAATCAAGTCTGTGGTCTCTGACACCAGAGTCTCATGTCTTCTGCCAACATCCATTAAACAGCAACAGGATAACTAATCAGCCTTTAAGTAACATCAAATCCCAGACCCAACACTGGTCCGCCAAATCTAGTGGTAAATGTTAGTAAAAGACTGAAGTAATTGTATATACAGGCAAGACCAAAGGCTTAAGATACCTAGGACTAAAGGATTAGGTCACCCTTTTGGATAACGAACCGTGAGGAGCTGGCTAAAGACAAAGAATAGGAACAGACAGTGAAAGAAGTCATAAATACAATAATAAATAATAATAAAAATATTAATGAATAAATAATAATAAACAATGAATGTGGCTTCTACTTTCATTTCCATCCTTGTTCTTATATTTATACTAGAGGCCCGGTGCATGAATTTGTGCACCAGTGGAGTCCCTTGGCCTGGCCTGTGGGATTGGGCTGAAACCGGCTCTTCGACATCTCCTGAGGGGTCCCGGATTGCGAGAGGGCGCAGGCCAGGCCAAGGGTCCCCACCAGTGCACGATCAGGACCAGGGAGGGATGTGGGAGGGCTCCAGGGCGTGTCTGGCCCATCTCACTCAGTCCCGATTGGCCTGACCCCAGCAGCAAGCTCACCTACCGGTCAGAACATCTTCCCCCTGGTGGTCAGTGCACATCATAGCGACTGGTCAACCAGTTGACTGTCTGCTCCCTAATGGTGAGTACACATCATAGTGAGCAGTTGAGTGGCCTTAGCATATCATTAGCATATTACTCTTTGACACTTAGCATATTAGGCTTTTATTATATAGGATAAGTTTTAACTAGTTTCCTATCTTCTTTTCCATCCAGAATCATACCAAAACATCTATTATTACTTAGCCCTTAGGATCTTGAAATGATGATAGAATAAAAGATTATCACTAAGTGATCTTGAACTTGGAGTTAGATACGGTTAAGTGAAAAAATTTGATTGGTGACTTTGTTTTTGAATGATAGGAATGAGAATAGCAGCACACATGTTTGTATTGGACAACCTAAGGTGTAGACCATAGTGGACACTTGTAGATCCTGGTTACTTAGCAACCAATTTCCCCTGCCTATTAGAACCCCAAGCTCCCATTTCCAGAAA